GAAAACAGGTTTCCAAGTACTCATTTATTATATACAAGATGCAAAGCAGAAATGGTTATAGTAAACCAAACTTGAGTGAAACTAGCTGAGACAACTCAGAGTCCAGCTACACAATCAACTGGGTGGCCTTTACTATACTGTATGTTACAGAAAGGTGGCAATGCTAAAATCATACAACGTACCTCTTATTTATCAAATAAACTATGAAGAGATCATTGTAAAGCATTTAAACTTGGGTCCAATCTAATGAGCTCTAATACTAATCAATCAAAAACATTTTTTTGTATTTACAGTACTCCTAGGATTTTATTTTTAAATGTATAAATCATCAGTAGTAAGCATAAAATAAAGTGCTACTATTTGAAATTCAAGAAATCACTTTTAGCATTGAGATTTGAACTATTCCACTGAATTTTTAAAAATCCAATAATCTTGCCAACTCACTTAAGGATGGGAAAAAATGTTATCAAGGAATCAGAGGACTGGATTGAAATTTTCTTGTCCAGGAAAGCAAGTAAATGGAACATTAAAATTCAAGAGTAGAAACAAAAATGCTTCATTTAATAAAAAGGTGAAATAGGCTCAACTGTGACTCCAGTGGACAGGAAAAAACCGTGAATTACAACTGTTTGGGCTGAAGGACTGAGCAGGGCCATCTCCTTGTTAGTTGCTTCCTGCTAATAATTTTATGCTAAACTTTGCAAATTCCAAGGGTTGAGGGAATCTGACACTAAATACCCTAGTAGCTGTAGCAAAAGTTGGAAAGATATTATTTAGTTGTTCAGGGTATCTACTTCATATGAGCGTTAATGATTTTGAAGAAGTTGGGAGGGTTGGATGTAGGAGTCAACACAGTAAATCCCAACTGAATGACTAAGTACTACTTTTTTATTTTTGGTAGGGATTGAACTTGGGTCCTTGAGCTTGTGAGGCAGGCGTTGGAACCACTGAGCTAAGTCCCCAGCCCAATACTACTACCTTTTAAAGGAACCTCTTAACAATTTCATCATGTCTGTAAAGGTTTAAAATGAAGGGTTTTTTTGTTCAGCTGTATTAAACTTTTAAGCATAGAAAGCACCACTGTTACAAGTCTTGAGTCGAGTCCAGTGGTCTTATATGTCTGTGATATAATAAAATGGCAAAATCATTTATCATGTCCGGGGCTGCTGGACATATTACTGTAGTGAATCTTAGGCACAGTTTTTTGGCTTCACCAAAGTCAAATTCTCACAAAAATGCTGCCACAGTGACAAAGCTTAGGAACTTTCCTTCCTAGTAGATACATAACAGCAGCATGTTTTTCCTCACACACAAACACTCTTCCACACCCTAGAAGTCTAGCATTTAATTATTTTACACTTAAATATGTGCAAATTTTCTGGAAACTTTCTAATCTTGAGCCAAAGCAAAACAATATGAAAAAGAATGCATATTATACTTGAAAAGAATGCTTCAGTAATGATTATTGTTTATAAAAAA